TGCGTGCGGATCTCAGGGATTCAGATCTGTGAACCACGGAATTCACAGATGTGGATGAAATGGTCAACTGCTACAACTCCACTCTCCAGGCCATTCTTGACAAACACGCACCTCCGAAAACTAAGGCTGTCGTCAACAGGAAGTGAGTTCCCAGGTTTAACAGTCAGATCCAGGTTTAATAGTCAGATGAAGGCTGCCATACGGACTAGACGAAAGGCTGAGAGGATCTGGCGCAAGTCTAAATCTGCGCATGACCCTCGTGTTTTTTAAGGCGAAGAAAAACCATGCAACATTCATCATGAATCAAGCCCGTTATGAATATTACACTCCCCAAAAAAACAGCTCTAACCATAGGAAGCTATTCCAAACTACTTAGGCCTTGTTGTGTAATGCTAAAGATGTTTCTTTCCCTCCGGGCAACCCTGACCAGCTTGCCAATGACTTTGGCAACTTCTTTGGGCAGAAGATTGAGAAGATAAATTGGTCTCAAGCTGACCGGTCCGCGCAGTCTCAATCGCTTCCTCGCGCAGATGAGCATAGTGTATACGTTGATGGACGGCTTACCAGCTTCAAGTCCCTGACGCAAGACCAAGTGCGCACGTTCATTGAAAAGGGGGCTAAAAAATCATGTCAGCTTAACCCGGTCCCAACATCGGTTGTTACTCAGTTGCTGGACATTTGCTGCCAGTTATAAACAATTTCGTCAATCTTTCTTTTGAGTCTGGCCGTTTTGCTGAGTCCTGGAAAGAGGCGCTTGTCTTGCCTTCTCTTAAGAAGCCTAACTTGGACATTGCCTATAAGAATTTCCGTCCAGTGAGCAATCACGCCTTCATATCTAAGCTATCAGAAAGGGCGTGTGTTGATCAGTTCACAAAGCATCTGACAGTCACCGAGCGCCATTCCCTACTGCAATCTGCATATAAGCCTCTACACAGCACGAAAACAGCTTTACTTAAAGTAAAGAATGACATCCTAATGTTAATGAATCAGCAACATGTCACCCTGCTTGTTTTACTGGATTTAAGTGCAGCTTTTGACACGATACACTATAATATACTGATTCAGTGTCTCGAGTCTGATTGTGGAGTAACTGGCAATGCACTTTCTTAGTTCAGGTCGTATTTATCTGACCGGTTCCAGCGAGTGTCTGTCAATGGTGGACTTTCCAAGAAGTTCCCCCTGTTTCAAGGCGTCCCTCAAGGATCATGTTTAGGCCCGCTGCTCTTCGCCATATATACGCGTAGGCTATTTGATATCGTGAAGCATCACCTTCCCCAAGTCCACTGTTATGCTCATGATACGCAGCTGTACGTTTCCTTCAGCCCAAACTAATCTGCGGAAGCGGACGCTGCTATAAAGTCTATGACTGACTGCATCACTGATGTCAGGAGCTGGATGATATCGAACAATCTAATACTAAATGAAGACAAAGCAGAGTTTCTTATATTGGGCACAAAGCAACAGCTAGCCAAAGTTAATAATGACAATATTAAGGTGGGCTCTGCTAATGTGAGTCCTGTTGCGGTAGTTAGGAAATTTGGATCATGGTTCGATTCACAGCTCACTATGTCTAGCCATATCAGTAAGCTTCGTTTTGTAGCATTTTACCATCTGTATAGTATTCGACGCATACGCAAGTATTTATCTCAAGAAGTTACGGAGAGGTTAGTCTATGCTTTCATAACGTCCCGCATCGACTATTGCAATAGCCTATTGTATGAACTGCCAAACAGCCAGCTTGCGCAAATTCAGAGTTCTGAATGCTTCCGCTAAGCTGGTATGTAATGCGCCTAGGTTTTGTCACATTACACCAATAATGCGCGATTTGCACTGGTTGCCTATCAAGGCACGCATCAACTTCAAGGTACTTCATCTCACGTTTAAGGCGTTACATGGTCTTGCGCCTCAGTATCCACGATCCTTAATTAGTATGAAGACATCATGCTATAATCTAAGGGGTTCTAACACTCTACTCCTAGCTATGCCATCAGTGAAATCTAGCATTTTCTTTTTTGTGTACTTTAGTTTCTTCGATTCTCTTTTATATAATATATACTTTAGGAATGCGTATCTAATCATAGTCATGTAAAGATGCGCACTAGAAATGAATAAATTATTCTTATTATAGTTATTATGGTGTTCCAAATCTCAGGGGGATGGATAGCATTCCGAGTGGATAGATCGCGACGATTCTACTGCATTGTGCTTATACTGTTCACAGGATTAAGTCAACTTATAACCATGGCGTGGTGAAGGATGAGGAATATTAAAATTTTCTTGAAAGAAAAAAATTGATTAAAAAAATTAGAATTGTTCTAAAATAAATCAATGATTATAGAGTGAAAGAAAACGCAGTTAATTTTTTTTTTTCAGGCTAGGATTGTGGCAGATTTGAGACTTGGTGTTTATTACCAGAAATGCCACAATCCCGACTGTAGAAGGATTGGCTATCGTTCCCCTGGTATGTGAGTATTAGCTGCCCGAAAAAACATCACTTGGTAGGATTTCTTTGGGTGAGGGCTAAAAATAAAGGAAGCAGCAAAACGAATCGTGGAGACTTCTCGCTCAGATTCCAATCGTAGTTCAAAGTATGGCACTTTTTTTTGCCAGAAACTGGAGAGCTAACCTTCAGCAACACTGTTCTGGAACTGAACCAGGCCAGATAAATCTTTATATATATGTAATGTTTCTTCAAATCTGTACTAGCACTGTTCCAGCTTTGTGCAATTTTATGGATCCTTTAATAAGACAGTCTAAATACGCTCTCTCTTAAAATCGTTAAAGATGTGGATTTTTGCGAAACAATTTTTCAAACTTGGTAAAGCTATAGAAGATAAAGAAGAATTCTTGCAAAAAACAATAACAACAACAAACAAACAAAAACTGGGAAGAATTCTGGGCCCTATTCCTGGCGGTGGCAAGAGCGAAACTTGAATTTCACATCAATCAATAAATCGTGAGAGTATTGACGCCGTAAGCATCTTTTACCATATTATAAGCTAGTCGTAGGGTATATCAGAAAAA